TAGTTCATCAACATTAGCGATCTCCGGAGGTCCCTCGTCTATTGATTGCTCTGTTTTGGTGGCAGCGTCATCTGCTAACTCTTTAATGGACATAATACAAGATACATTAGAATCGTGGGCTCCCATAAGTCCGTGAAATAGAAGATACATTAGAATTGTAGACTCCCACAAATCCGTGAAAAGAAGATACATTAGAATTGTAGACTCCCCAAAATCCGTGAAATAGAAGATACATTAGAATTGTAGACTCCCACGTTTTTTTGAAATACCGGTAGCTGTAATTTACGTACTAGTTTTCCATTCATACACAAGTCGTAGTGAGATCTGGAGACACCGATGGCCTACTTTACATGCCTACAGCTGTCTATGCAAAGTGACTTTCAGAATGACTGGAGTGTTTTGATTGTTTTTACCTTGTTCAGGCTCAGGTTCTTTTTGATTGGTCTGTTCACTGCTTTGACTCTTCGCACTTTTTGCGCTGGCTTTACGGCTTCTGTTGCTCTTACTACTGCCAGTACGACCACTCTGGAAATGATAAAAGAAAAACGTGCAGAATGAGTACTAATAAAGTGTTGTACGTGAGAGGGTATTTCACGGGTTAATGACAACCACTAGGCTATTATCAATTGACAAAAGGTTGTCGTCGACCGGACTTCGTAGTACGCGACTCACCTGAACAGGTTTCTGGGTAAAAATCAATGAACTGGCAAATTAGACATAACGACACCTTCTAGTATAGTGCCAATTTGCTTCGGCTTTCATTCTCTTTTTTTAAGAACTCGAAGACAAACATTGAACGTTGTAATCCCCGCCATGATGGGAAACAATGTGAGATGTAAAAATCAAAAATCAACATCAGATGCATGCATAATTAAATTCACGTGATTTGGAAWTTTTTGTCACACATTATGTGTCAGTTCKTCCAATCACAAAGGCATTCAAATCTCTAATTTGCCASKTCATTGATTTTTACCCAGAAACCAKTTCGGGCTAGTCGCGTATCGTGAAACTCTGTCAACGATAAYCTTTTGTMAATCGACCACGTAGTGCTGSTACCTTAGCTTTGCTTGTTTTGCTGCCACGGCTGACTACTGATGCTGATTTGGGTGTTATGGTGTTGTTTTGGTCTTCTTCTGATGGTTTCTGGTCTTCTTCGCCTTCCTGGAATTAGAAACAAGGCTTGATCTGATGTTATAACATGAGACGATTTAGTGCGTTTTCTACCTATACGATTCATAATTTTTAATGCTTATAATTTTTACAAATCTATTTTCAGCTCAAATGTGGCTTTTTTTTTTCAAAAAAAAAACATTGATGGCTTACTTGGAAACGTGTTTTGCGTGAGAAAATTGTGAATTGAAAATTGATGAATGGCATAGTGAAAAAAATATCGCTAGATATCGTCTTGTATAAGATTACACTAAGCGATATTATGAATCGGATTCATAATTTTTAATATACAAATCTATTTTCAGATCAAATGTGGCTTGTTTAAAAAAAAAACATTCATGGCTTACTTGGAAACGTGTTTTGCGTGAGAAAATTGTGAATTGAAAATTGATGAATGGCATAGTGAGATATCGTCTTGTATAAGTTTACACTAAGCGATTTTTGTAGTGAGACTGTCGCACGATAGAGCGGATTTCGTATGAGTGAGAAACGGACGGTACTGTATCGTGACCGTAATCGTACTGTAACCAAATTCTAGTGCCCCATTGTTTCACCAAAATTGTGCAGGCCAGGTGCGGTAACTGTGTGGTAACCATGCGGTAACTGTGTGGTAACCATGTGGTAACGGTGTCCCACTCATACGAAATCCGCTCTAATCTCCACCTTAATATTGCGCAACTAAAATTGTACGTGTAAACATCTTTGCGATTGTTGCGGTTATGGAAAATCGCCGCGAATTTGCAGCCAATTTTCAAGCATGTTCGAAACTCAGGCAATGGTCGCGCGAAGATTGCCGCGAGAATTGCTCTGCAAACATCGCAAGCGTAAGTGCAAGTGTAGATGGGAAGCATGGGGGAAATAGACAGAATGAGAAGCAAAAGAAAATTGAACAACAAAGACAAGGAAATAAGGAGGAATGGCAAGGGAGATTGGAGGGATGAGAGACAAAATGAAGAAGAAAAGGTGAGATAACAAGATGGGAAAAAAATTAAAAGTAAGGCAAACAGAAAATAAAAATAGAGCGAAATAACAAATGACTAGTCTCCTTAAAGTGCTACTTGAATGAAAATGGCCTTTCATTTCAAAACTTCAAGCAATACATATATATGACCCACATATATCTATTAAAGGCAATTTCGGGAAAATCTTTGTTTTGGAATTGTGCCACATCAGAGAAATTTGATTCAAAAGATGGAAGAACAAAAGGATGGAGTAAATGACGTCATCTACTCCAACATTTTTTGCCCAAATTATTAAGGATTTGTATCAATATCTTCTTAAAATCTGTTGCTTCATGGTTATTAGACCCATATGGATAGTTCTATTTGATTTCCAAGTCTTTTCTAATGTTTCGCAATTTTCGTCCAAGTGGCCCTTTAAGCAGCCGCCCCTCTGTCATCAAGCAATGAACTCTACAGATACGTAGCATTGCGGCACAACACAGCGGCGGCTTATGGAAGCTAAGGAATGGCAAAAGAAATAAAAGGAACAAAAAAGACAAAAAGAAATAACTAAAATGGCTGATTTACGCGCCACGATTGTCTCGTGCGAATTGTAGTATACGACTTGAACTTCCATCGCGCAGTGTAAATGCCACTACGACTTGTCTAAAACAGTCGTGCGCAACCTATGACTTATAGTAGGATTTTGAACCACTGCTTAAAAGCCTACGACTTGTAGTAGGAAAATCGTATACTACAAGTCGTACACGACAATCGTACCGTGTAAATCAGCTTTAACTTTACCTCTTTTTTATCTTCTTCTGGTTCTTGCACAACCTCAACAACAACCTCTGGAAGTTTCTTTTGTTTTGGATAAAATGACTTTGCAAGAGGGCTGAGGTGATCGTAGGCTGTCAGYAGTACACGTATTGATATTTCTCCTACTGCTAGTGATTTAGGAACTTCAATAGTGAATCCTTGCTTATCAAATGATACTGATTTCAACCTGAAAGGAATTTCATTGAATGTTTTTGAGATTCAAAGTAGTGAAGTTGTCTTTCAGTAGCATCGTGTTGTGCAAGATAAAGTWGAGATWRRGCCATRCGCTACTGCTGGGATGAATTTACTTTTSTCRAGCTTTCGTCGGTCGCCGACATMATCAGAAGAGTGAAGGRAATTTACATCAATGTTTTTGAGATTAGAGAGCCTGGTTCACATAAGCAATTCTAACACAAAMACAAATAATTAAAGTAGGTCTCAAAATGGAAAGCAAAGTGTGAAAATACAAGTGAATGAAAAGAAAAGTTTTATTCTTGAATTTGCTTAATATGCATTAATTACAAAAGTCTTACGGTGATAATGACGASAATTCCCACCAACTGAGTTTTGTRGTCCCTTTTAGGGTATATGACGTCCCTAAGCCGTCATYATRAGATCAAAAACMACAGCTGCTAATTAGATGATTGATTTTATTTTACTCAATTTCACGTCGGGAAACCAAAACAAAATGACCTTTATTGATTGGTCCCTTTTAGGGGTGAAATTTCAGCACTGCCACGCCCATCATCTCCAAATACAGGTCCCTCTTAGGGGTTATTTTCATAATTTCCGCCGGGGGACCCCCGCCCTTTGATATTAGGGAGAATTCCCACCAAATGAGTTTTGTGGTCGCTATTAGGGTATATGACGTCCCAAAGCCGTAATAATGAGATCAAAAAACACAGCTGCTAATAGACGTCTGAACCTTTTACGTCACTACTTGATTTGCAATGCATTGTRGGATMRGTTTCTWSAGAAAACAAAAGAAATCCGCCATTTTCTGTCCCAAACATGTCCTACAATGCATTGCGTATACGGTACATGACGTAAAAGCTGTAGAGGTCTATTAGATGATTGATTTTATTTTTTTAGTCAATTTCACGTMAGGAAACCAAAACAAAATGACCTGTTATTGATTGGTCCCTTTTAGGGGTGAAATTTCAGCACTGCCACGCCCATCATCTCCAAATACAGGTCCCTMTTAGGGGTCATTTTCATTTGACATTACCTTGGGTTTTTAGCTGTGTTTCCCCATAGACACAGTGTGATGTGTTTTGTACTTGTGATGTATTCAAGGTTCTGGGATTCTGGATCAACATTGTCTAACGCTGTCTGTATTAGGCAAAATTAATATGAGATGACATAAATAATAGTGTATAATGTCATAATCATGAATAAATKACTTGTAAACTACAGATGCAGCATAATGAAATACAGTTGTAAGCTGGTGTATAAGCCAAGTATAAAATACTTTTATTAGTTTACCAAAAGCAGTTCCATTGTTGCTCTGTCAAGCTTGAATCCAATGAGATCTTGGAGCTTCTTTACTGACTAAAAACCCAAAACAATTTTGTCTATTATACAGTCAAATGCATTAAAAACACCATCATGTAAATTTGCTCTTTGTTGGCCACTACTCATTGACCTGTTTGACAGCATGGGTGGTCATTGCCAGGTGTGTACGGTAGCAGCTGACATAGCTCTTGCTGGGTGCATAGGGACAYTCAAATGACTCCACCATGATATGCTGGTGACTCCAGTTTGGAGTGTTAGTGTTAATCAACTGCACATGTACATATTGTACTATAATAGGACATGCAGAAGATTAAGAGTATATCTAATATAAGACCCACAAACCTCTTTATATCTCGTCAGTTCCTGTTCTGATGGCTGCTCTTGTTCACTGCTCTTTACATGCCACTCAAGCTCAGATATAAGCTGGAAAAATAATTATTAAAAAAACATATTTTCAGTAAAAAAAAAATGTGTAAAATAGTCTGATATTATTGAAACTTTCAAAACATGACACTACCAACATATGCTATAAATATTTATGTTTTCATCATCAAGTAATATATTAGATTAATATATAATATTCTAACATATATGTTGGTAGAGTACAAACACTAAAACTGTGCAACATATATAAATACCACTAAATACTGCTAAATTATGCTAATTCTATTGTTTTCTATTGTTTAATTAACACTATTTTGTAGTAAATAGTGGAAAGTGTTGCACACATTTAATGTTTGTACTCTAGTGTCATGTTTTGGAAGTTTCAATAACATTAGACTAGTGTACAGTCATGTACATTGCAGCTGATGTGATGTAAGGGTCACCTTTGCTCATGTATATTGATATTCAATATAATCATACTCTGCACTAACTTCATCATCATCATCAACATTTGCAACATTACTAAATAATATCATAATCATAATGATTATTATCACCATCCTCTATCACCTGACCACCACCATCATCATTATCACCATTGATAACATCATATTATAATCACCACCTCCATATCATCATCATCATTAATAATAAATCTGGTATAGCCTATATCTGGTATAGCCTATATCTGGTATAGCCTATATCTGGTATAGCCTATAAAGTATTAGTTTGCACCTTTAGAGTATTTTCGCATTCCTCCAGGACATGTTTTGTTGAAGCAGGAATGGCTTCATCTCTCCATAGATGTATGAATGTATTGAGMTCATTTTCTATCAAAGGATCWGGRCTGCCATCACATAACATGTATCTCTC